CTTGCCCAGCAGCCTTTACAGCAAGTGGAGGCCCAGAGCTGGCCCTAGGAGAGAGGCAGGACCTGTGTGGGCCCTGAGGGCCTTGAACAAAGCCCTAGGTTCTCTCTCCTTCTTTCTCCTCCTCCTCCTCTTCTTTTTGCCTCCAGAAAGTTAACTTTGTTTCCTCAGAGATGGGCCAGGTGGACTCGGGCTTTGGACTGGCCTACAGCATTTTCCTTTTTCTGCCTGAACTTTCTGAGGGGTCAGAGGGAAGGAGGCCAGGCGGTGGGTCAGGGTGTTGGGCTGAGGCCTCCTGGGCCCTGGCCGCCTGCTCAGGTAGCCTCCCTCCCCGGCTGGGCTTCCAGGACTGGACAGAGACAGGCAAGCAGAAAAGCAGAAAGAGCGAGCAGCCCACTAGTTGGCACAAACCAGACCAAGAGAACTTACAATAGAAAGTTTATTATTTTTTTGTTTGTTTCCAGTCAGTATTTTTCCTTAAAAACAAATACAAAAAAAAAAGAAGCTGATCACAGTTTGTTTAAACAGCCAGACTTGGACAATATTTGTAACTTTGTTCACAAAAACATACATCACTGAAGCGGCGCTTATAAGAGCCACTTCCAGAGTTCGTGCAAAGGGTCCTACAAAGGCACGCAGGGACACACCGCTTGGAGTCACAGTTTTCGCCACAGAGTCACTAGTCACTACACGTCGAACAAGTTAAGTTGTGTCTCATCAAGTCACCTCTACAACAGCATTAATTACACAGGGGATATAGGTAGTTTGAATAAAAATATCTTTAACAGCTTGGAGCTATTGAGACAGGAACACTTCCACGCACATGCACAGTTAAACAACTCTAGTGCAACACACAACATTGGCACTAAACGAGGTCCAAGGGGGGGCTTTTTATGTGTTTTTTTCCTCTTTTCTTTTTTGTTATAGTTACTTCAAGTAACAGCTTGCTTCATATAAATAAGTTAAAACATCTATTTTTTTCAAGACAAAGCCATTCAGGACAAAGAGATGAACAGAAAGCAGATCTACTTATACAGGCGCTATAATGGCAATAAACAGGCTCATGATTAAAAGATGAATTAGGGCAAGGCGAACAGGGCTTCTTCACAGAAGGAACACAAGGGCGTTTCAGAGAGTCACCTTAGAACTGACACTATGCGGGTCCGCTAATACTGCTCAGTACGTTCAACGCTCAGAGACTTAGGGGCGGAAGGCCCCTCCCGCCGCTGCCATGCTCATGCTTTTCAGCTTATTATCTTTTTTCCACTTCATTCTCCGGTTTTGGAACCAGATTTTAATTTGTCTCTCGGAGAGGCAAAGAGCATGTGCTATTTCAATCCTCCTTCGGCGGGTCAGGTACCGGTTGAAGTGGAATTCTTTCTCCAGCTCCAGGGTCTGGTAGCGCGTGTAGGCCGTCCGGGCCCTTTTGCCTTCGGGGCCGCCTATGTTGTCTGCAACAGAAAAGTCAGCGGTTTAGCCACCAACTCCTCAGCCCCTGTCTTCTGAAGTCCGCCAGATGGGCGAGCCAGGGTCCTGAGAAGTGAACGGGGGTGTAGGGGGGGATGTGGGCGAAAGGCTCAACAAGTCCTCCCTCCATGCCTGCCCACCCCTCCCGAATTTCCTTCCCTCTTCCTTTCTAGAGAGAAAACAATACGATTTGGACTCTGGGAACAATTGGCTCAGCTGAGGCCCCAGCCCGGTCCCGGGAGGACCGCCCTGGCTTGCCCTCGCCCCTCTCCTGCCCTCTCTGGCCCTGCCCAGGGCGCCTTGAGTCAAGGGGCACATCCCTCCCAGGCTGCCCGCCGCTCAGAAACCACCGAAGCACAGCTCTTTCCCTGAGCGCCCAAGTGGCCTACAGGTCACCCTCCTTAAAGTTCCAGCCCCTGGAGCCGCCTCCGGTTCCAGCCTGCTCTTCTTTTTCTTCCCTTCTCTCTCTCCCTCCTGCCCCCAAACTTCAGAATCCCGCCGGCTCTCGCCTCCATTACACACACCCCCAAGCCCCTTTTCGGGGACTCTAATTAGTAACGCTGTTTCCCCAGCGTAGCCCTCCTCATAAATTATCCGCCCTGACAAGCCCGATTCACGGCCCCTACTGCTGCCCTCTACCTCTCCGCGCCCTGCTCGGCTGCTCGGCCTGGGGTGCGGGCTCCGAGGCTCTGGGGTTCCAGAGAAGGGGTTCGCCTTTTCCGCTCCAACGTCTAAACTTGCCTGGGCAGCGGCCGCTGCTTCCCCCTCCCCCATTGACAGGGCGCAGGGCGCTGCGGAGAAGAGGAGGAAAGGGGAAGCCGGGGAGGGAGGCAGGCCCGCCGGGAGAGGCTCGGCGGGGCCCGGGAAGGCGAGAGCGGGAGAGGCAGGCAGAGAGGGCAGCGGAGGAGAGGGGGAACCGAGCGCCGCGCCCCGCGGCCGCGAGGTCGAGAGAAAGACTGGCGTTACCATGACTTATGTGCAGCTTGCGCATCCAGGGGTAGATCTGGGGTTGGTTGGGCGGCGCCGGGCTCGGTTCGCTCTGCGCGCTCGCCTGCTCGCTGCTGGCGGGGGTGTCCTCCTCGGCTCCGGACGCCGTGCCAACCCCCTCTCTGCTGCTGATGTGGGTGCTGCCCGCGGTGGCCGAGGCGCCGCTGGAGTTGCCCAGGGAGTTTTTTCCGCCGTGATGGCTGTCGCTGCCGGGCGAGGGGGCCACGGCGGAGCAGGGCAGCGGGTCGGGCGGAGGCGAGTGAGTGGACGTGGCCGGCTGGCTGTACCTGGGCTCGGCGGGCGCCGCGCTGGCGCCGGCCGCGTAGTTGCGGGCGCGCTCTCCGGAGCCAAAGTGGCCGGAGCCCGAGCGGCCGACGCTGAGATCCATGCCATTGTAGCCGTAGCCGTACCTGCCGGAGTGCATGCTCGCCGAGTCCCTGAATTGCTCGCTCACGGAACTATGATCTCCATAATTATGCAACTGGTAGTCCGGGCCATTTGGATAGCGACCGCAAAATGAGTTTACAAAATAAGAGCTCATTTGTTTTTTGATATGTGTGCTTGATTTGTGGCTCGCGGTCGTTTGTGCGTCTATAGCACCCTTGCACAATTTATGATGAATTATGGAAATGACTGGGACATGTACTTGGTTCCCTCCTACGTAGGCACCCAAATATGGGGTACGACTTCGAATCACGTGCTTTTGTTGTCCAGTCGTAAATCCTGCCTGATGACCTCTAGAGGTAAACTCGTGCACTAATGGGGGAGTTGGGTGGAGGCGAGAGGGGTGGCGCGCGCGCCCCGGGCTCGTGCCCGTCGTCCGCCGCCGCCGTTCAGTCGGACTCGAGCGCCACCCGCTGGAGGCCAGGCGCAACGCCCCGCTTCCGACCCCGGACTGCAAGGGCCGGGGTCGAATTGAGGTTACAGCCCATTATGGCAAAATTATTGCATTTCCCTCGCAGTTCCATTAGGATGTACCAATTGTGAGGCCGTCAGCTGCCGATCGTGCGCCCGGCGAGGACGCAGAGGATTGGGGGGAGACGGTGACTCGAATTTTGTTATTTACAACAACTTTATTTCCCCAGCTTTGCAGCCCCTCTGATTTCCTGTCGAGGTTGGGCTCGGGCTTGCCAGTCCTGCGGGACAGTCTGAAATTTGAAAATACAGATATCACCTTCTGGGTGGGGAGGAGGCCATTGAGCCAACTGGAGAAATAAATCCTGCCCGCAGCAGCCGCAGCTACAATTACATTACGGCTCTGTTTTTGTGTACGCATGAAGGACGGTGCCCCTGCCGCTCTGCAGCGACAGGCGTCTAGCAAAGATAGCTTTTGTGCAGTGTTTTGTTTGTTTGTTTTCCGAGACGAGGTCAAATCCCATACACTTGTATGACCAGAGCCGATTTTTTTTCCGTGAAAATATGGTTTTTCGTGTCATTAGCTTGCTATTTGATTTGCTTAAGTATCCAGCCTGGAGACCCTTCACCAGCCGGTCCCCTGCCTCCAGCCAGCCAGGCCCCAAGTCGGCGGGTTCTCAGTGAACCCAGCGAGTGGGCCCGGGCTCCCCGCGGCCTCAGAGGCTGTTTGGGATCTGGGAGTCCGTGGACCGAGTTACTGGGGTCTTGCGGAGACCTCCAGGAGTCAAGTGAAGGCGCCAGTGGAAACATGTCGGCACAGTGTCTAGCAGCTCCGAGCTTGTTTTTCTGGGCTGTGGAGGACGAAAGTAAATCACACATATAGCCGAGAGGCAAGGGGGAGCTCCCCGCTGGCAACCGGGCGTCGCAGGCGCCCCTGGCAGGTTTGGAAACCTGGACTCTAGCCTCTCCCATGGCCCAGGGCCCCCTCTCGAGGTCCTTAAAACCGCGGTGGTGGCGGCGGCGCCGGCGCTGTGTCGGAGCCGGGGAGCCGGAATCCAGAGCTGCGAGTCGGCGGGTGAGGGTCGCTCCTCCAGCTGCAGGGTTCCACCCGGGCGGGCCCAGGTTGGCTCCACTGGGCTGACGCTGCCTCTCTTCCACTGGCGGTTGCTTGCGGGCCCGAGAGGCTCAGCTCTCTTGCGGGGGACCCCTTTTGTTCCTCGGGATTTTTCCCGCCTGGGGGCCGCCTGGGAGGCCACAGCAAGGTGAGGGCCCCAGTCCCTAGGCCGCTTCCTCCCAGAGGCAACGGACTTGGGGGTGCCCTCCAGGATTTAGTGGGCCTGGGAATGAGGCAGAGACGCCCAGACCCCAGACGGGACTCGGCCTGAGCGCTTTCTTACGGAGACCCGCGCTCGCAGTTCGGCCACGCAGAGAGGCTTGCACAAGAGCCCGGCTGAATTCAGGGGCTCCCCGCAGGCGCTTTGGGCAACCTTGAGGGGCAGAGAGGGGCTGTGAGTCCACAGTGGGAGCGCTGGCCCGCTCCCCAGCTCTGATCCAATCGCTCTGATCCAATCGGGGTGTTTGTGGGTTTTGTTTGTATTTGTGGTTTGGGTTTTTGTTTTTGTAAGAAATGCTCAGACCTTTGCAAAGCTCCGGTTTCCCCTGAAGCTGCAGCCCCCAGAAGGGAGCAGGCCGGGAGACGTTGGGGAGCAGCGAGGGCAAGGGGGCAGAGTTGAGGAAGGTTGCGGCGCTGGCCAGTCCTGGTCCTGGTCCTGGCCCAGGCTTCTACTCGCCCGCCTTTGCCTCTCCGTCCTCCCCGCTGGGCTGCGTGGAATTGAGGAGTTTATTCTCCTTCTTCCACTTCATGCGTCGGTTCTGGAACCAGATCTTGATCTGGCGCTCGGTGAGGCACAGCGCGTTGGCGATCTCGATGCGGCGGCGCCGCGTCAGGTAGCGGTTGAAGTGGAACTCCTTCTCCAGCTCCAGCGTCTGGTAGCGCGTGTAGGTCTGGCGGCCTCGGCGACCGTGGCTTCCGTACACAGCACCTGCGGGCAGAAAGGGACACGGGCTCGGGTAAGCCAGACCCGCCAGGTCTCAGCGGCCCAACCAGCCTGCCCTGTGCCCTGCGTCTCCCTGGAAGATCCCTGATCTCCACTCTCACCTTATCTTTGGCCAACAAACGGACTGGAAGGGACCTGCTTATTTCATACCAAGCGATACACCCCCTCCCCCTTGCCTACAACGAGTTAAGGTGGACAGTCGATGCTTTTGAAAAATCTGTTGATTAAGAAAAGCATTCATTACCAGTGAAAGAATAGGATAACCATTCTCCATTCAGGGCACTGGAGCAGTGGATTTGTGGTGTGTGTGTGTGTGTGTGTGTGTGTGTTAGGAGTGGGTGCATGTGCAGCCCTGCAGGTAGTGTGGATGCTGGGAACACACACTCGGGCCTCTGGGAGGGCCTTTCCATGGCCTGCAAGCCAGGACTCAGTGTGCTCCTGGGAAAGTTAGAAAGGCTCAGCCCTGTCAGAGGCTTGAAATCTCTCCCAAAGTCATATGGCCCCTCATAGTAAATCCACTGAGCTCTCTCAGAAGAGAGACAGACAGACAGACAGACAGAGAGAAATTTTGAAACAAAACACGAAGTTATAAAAAATCTGCATTGAATTCTGCCCTACTCCAAGGGAAAAGATTCCCTGTGGAGTTATTGGAAAGCAGAGGCAAAGAGACAGAGCTGTGGACAGTTCTGGAAATGTAGGACTGGGTGGTGGTGTAGATTCTGGTGCCAAAAGGGGGCCATGCCCCCCACCCACCCCCAGGCCAGGAGTATGTGCGTGTGTGTGTGTGGGGGGGGGGGTGAGGCTCACAAGCGGACTCTGGTGGAGAATGGAGTTTGCTCTGGGTGAGCAGTTGAGTGGAAGAGAGAAGTAGGGAGGGGGCAGAGAGAGGAAGGATAAAAACAAACCTAAGGCTGGGGATGTGGCCCTCCAAGGCTGTGGGAGACTCACTCACTAGGGGAGGGGCCAGATGGGGGCCTCTACTTAGTGGGGGTTGAGAGGGGCCGAAAGGAGAGGGGGTTGGGGGGCAAAGTGAAGTTCTTGGTGCTGGATGCAGAAGGCCCTCTCAGCCTGGGGACCAAGCAGGGGACTACCAGAATGCAGCTTGGCCAGCTGTGTCCTCCCATCCAGTCTCCCTCATTCTTGTCCCCTCTCTCTTCAGGTTGTCCTTGTGATGGGTGGAACAAAAAGTGACAGTGACACCCTCCCCACCCTTCTCCAAGGAGTCACATTACATGGACACTGGCATCCTGCCTTGTCTCTGTCCTGGCCTGATTGCCCCATTGGGAATGGTGGGGTTTTTGTTTTGTTTTGTTTTAATCTTTGGAAAGTCCAAGGAACTTGCTCCTTCCTTCCTTTCTTCCTGTCCATTTCACTGTCTACATCCTCTCCTTTTCTCTATTGCTTTCTCCTTCCTTCCTCTGTCTCTGACCCTTTCCCCCCTCTCTCTCCTCTGCCTTGGAGGGGTGGGCACTGGGAAGGGGGCTACAGGGAGAAGCCTTACCCGTGCAGGAGTTCATCCGCTGCATCCAGGGGTAAACGGGGCTCGTGTACTTCCGGTCGGTGCCTTCGTCATGGAGGGCTTTGCCCTGCCCGCTGCTGCTGTCGGGTTTGTACTGCTGCTCGGGAGGAAAGTGCAGGTAGTCCCCGGGGCCCCTCTGCTTGCCACTGCCCGAGGGCGAGGCGCCACTGAGGTCCTTATCAGGGTAGAAACACGAGGCCCCGTACTCGTAGGAGGGCCGGTTGCAGGCCAGGACCGAATTGGACTGTTGGTAGAAACAAGGTGAGGTGTACGTCTTGTCCTGGAGGCTCGACGCCCCGTACGAGGCCGGGAAGGGCCTCAGCGCGTCATAGCCGGCCGGGTAGAGGGGCAGCTGGCCCAGGAAGGAGTCCTGGCCGCTGGGCAGGCTCCCGGGGAAAGTGGGATTCACAAAATAGGAATTCATTTGCGCACCCCTCTGCAGGACTGTGATTTGTTGTGTATTAGTACATCTGGCTATAACTATTAGTAGTCATCGAACTGGTTTGTTTCTGGATGGCCGAACGCCAAAAGCGACAGCAGCAAATCACACCAGCTGACGCGGCGGCGGCCAATGGGAGCGAGCGCCGGAACCCGCTCCCCGGGGACCGCGGCGACCGAGGCAGCAAAGTTACAAACAGCCCCCAGCCCGCCCGCCCGCTCAGCAGATTAATGGGCGCACCACAGCCCGCTCACCCGACCACCCGCCCGGCTCTCGCCCGAACGCCAGCCGCGGGCACGGGAGGGCAGGGGCACCCAGAGCAGGCCCGCGAGGGAGCCCAGCGCCCGGGCTGTCAGCCGCCTAGGCCTCGCTCGTTCCTCCTCCCCTTTTTGCCTGGTTGGATTTTGCTGGGATTTTCTTCCAAACAGGAAACCTGACAGCCCCGCGCGGGGAGGGGCGGTGACAAGGATGCGGGACTCCCGCCAGCGGCCTTCCCTCCGACCAAGCCATGACTTGTTCCTCCCCTTGCATCCCTCCACCCGAGGGTGCAGGCGCGGGCGCGAGGCTCTAGGAAACCAGGCCTTTACTCAGGTCTCTTGGGGATCTGTACAACCCCCGTGGTTGGGCACCTTTGCACCCCCACCGGTGTGTGTGTGTGTGTGTGTGTGTGTGTGTGTGTGTGTATACCTCACGCTGCCCAGGACACCACCAAACGTGGGTCTTGTTTGGGTTCCTAGGCTGCTTGGGTTCCTAGGCTGCTTCTCGGTCCAGTCTGGACTCAAAGCACCCCGCCGCCTTGTGCCCCAATTCTGCCTTTGAACCCAGACAACTGAGAGTCCAGAAACCAGTGTTTTCAACCAGAAAGGGACCCTGAGAAGAGCGGCAGGGAGACCCAGCTGGGACCAGCTTCCCTTACCCAAAGCCCTGAGACTCGCCCTCTGTGACTAGTACTGCTCAGATCAGAGCCCGGATGTGGAATCTCCATTCCAGGGGCGCAGGCGCAGGGCCCCTGGCCGAGTCAGGGCACAGAGGGCCGCTCTTCTGGGCCCATGGTAGAGGGATAATTGATGAGCTTGGTATCCCAGGCACCCGCCAACCAGGGCCTTCCCGGGTTCCTCTCCCTCCAGCCCTTCCTGGGACTGCTCCATGGCCTGTGCCTGGGATTGCTGCAGGACCAGGAACAGTTGTGGCATGAGCTCCAGAAATCCTCTGAACTGCTTCTGCCAGCATCCCGGGCCTGGCTGTCCCTGTCTGGGGCTGCTCGCTCCTGCCTGCAAGGTGTGCCTTAGAGATCGCTGACTCTGACAGCACATGGAACAATCTAGTTTTGCAAAATGGGATATCCTTCCAGTGGCATTTTTATGGCTCTGTTTGTTGGGCTTGTAAAACCCTTTGAATTACCTTTAAAATCCTCAATGCTGTAGTGACTGAGGAAAACTCTACATGATTTGGCTGAATTTCTGTAAGGTGTTTATAAGACTATAAAACCTGGTGACTGTAGGTTGATAGCGTTCAGGACTTGGAAGGGGGCTGTCAGTGGTTCTAGGAATCTAGCAACTACTGACTTCTTTCATCTTTGCTTTCTGATTTCACCCTTTATCTTTCTTTCTTCCAAACGGAAAAATTAATTTGAAGAGAATGACCTCCAGTCGGCCTCCATGGAGGCCCTGTTTAGAGATGTGCTTGTGAAGGGGGCTGTACCCCAACCAATCCAGCCCCAGAAAGTTTCTCCTTTGCCTATATAAAAAGGGACCTTGTAGTAAGAGATATAATTGGAAATTTCTCTTGTATTTGTTCATGGGAAGGATCTACTAGGTGAAAATGAAAAATCAGGAGTCAAATGTTAAAAGGGGAATTATTTCTTTCAATCTATGCCCAAAGAAAATCATGTTCCAGTTATTGTTTCTTAAACACGTCCATTTGGTGACAGAGCGTTCAAGCCAATCACTGTTTGAGATGGAAATAACAACCGAAAGAAATGTTGATACATGTTTACATTTGTAATTTCTCTTTCATCCTTCAGCATCCTACACATCGCTGGGGCCGGTGACAGTTTATTACTATTATTATTATTTGTTAGGCTTTGACCTGATGTCTCAATCTAATCATTGTTCCAGCCAACGAGAGAATTTGATTTCTCAGCTAAGAGCCAAAAATATTGTATGTCTAGTTTGTGTCGACACTAAGAGGGGGGAAATAGTTATTAAATTGAAATCCATAGGTTTTAGCCAAGGCTGGTGTATAGCATGGTATCATATTGGCAGCAGACCAATTTATTTCTCCAACCAGCTTTAGGAATACACACACACACACACACACACACACACGCCAAGAGCCTTTCAGACAAGAACTGGCGCCCACACACCCACAGGAGCCCCTCTCTGGGACGGTGAGAACATACACCCTGAGCTCCCTTTCCTCTGTCAAAGCCACAGAGAGTGTCCACTTACCTTTCAGCTGCTCTGCAGGGGGCGCGGGATGGGAACAAGGCCTCACCGCCAGAGCTCTCTCAGGGCTGCCCACTGAGCTCCTGGACCTCCGCTGCCCAAGAGGGCGGCCTGGCAGGTGTGTGTGGCAGGCTTCAAAGGCCCCCAGGTTCCGGCCCCGGATCTCTATCCCAGACCGGAGCCCGTCGCACACAGGTGTGGCCTCTGCCCATCGCGCAGGCCCTTGCTTGGAGTCATCACAGCCCGCCTTCCTGGCCACAGCCAGTCTTCCTAACGCCCAGCCGGGCCCGCAGGCCTCAGGACTACAAGTCATCTCTCCGATTTCAGAATCCCAAAATAGGTGCATCCCCTGAGTCAATGTGCACACACACCCCGCAGGGCGCCTGGGGACGCGCAGTTTGGACAGAAGCAGCCATGACGTGCCAGGCGGCCTGTGCAACCAGTCTCCATGGGGGAGGGGGCCGAGTCTAGTCCGCCATCCAGCTCCCGGGCCCGGGCAGCTAAGGCGAGGGAGGGTCCTCGGCCAGTCTCCAGGAGGCTGCCCCCACACCTCTGCCTCATCCCTCTCTCCCCGCCTGCTGGGGAAGCTCTGTGGGCCCCCTGCACAGCAGTCGCGCCAGGCTGCGCGACGCTGGGCTGCGGCTGGCGTCCGTCCCGGCGACGGCCACAGCGTGGCAGCAGCGAGCGGCTCGCGCGGCCGCAATAAATAACCGGCCCGCGGCAGCCGCAGTCAGCGGCCAGGGCCTGCGAGGCAAATCCGCCGCTTTATCCTCCCAGATCGAGCGCACCCGCCGCGCGGCCTGCGTCCCAACACCCGCCGCCCCTTCTTAATTATCGAACGCACACCATGCTAGCGTCTCAAAATGGAAAAAGAACCGCCACCCAAACGAAAACACAAACCAGCCCAAGAAAAAGAATTCGAGCCCAGAACCTCGGGCTCCCTTCGCGTAGCTGTCTCGGGAGCTCCCGGGACAAATCTGGCACGGCGCGCACCCAGTTCCAGCCGCGGCTGGTGCCCCGCATCACGCAGTCCATGCCCGCGGCACCCTCCACGCCTCCTCCGGGTGGTCACACCGTCCACTCCCGCCTCGCTGGGGGGTGGGGGTGGGGGTGGGGGGAGGGACGCGCCATCTCTTGCCCCGCCGCGCAGGGATGGGTGGGTGGCGGACCCCTCTCGCCCAGACCCCGTTGGCGCCCTCCCGCCAACCTCAGCTGCAGGCCCTGCCATCAGCACTAACCCCCAGAACGTCCTCAGCACAGAAACTTCCCGCCAAGCCACATGCAGCCAATTAACCCCATCCTCGCCTCCGACACCTAATTCCACCCACGCATCTCTCCCTTTCTGCTGTTTCAGACACCTCTCAGCCACCGCAAACGGCGCCAAGGGGCGACAGCCATGGGGGAGGACTCCGGAGGAATTCCTAAGTTCCCCTCTACCGCGACCCGTCTGCCTTTCGCTCCAGAAATCGACTGTCCCGCAATCCAAGAGACTGGCTGTGCCCGAGCTCAGAAAACGCCCCCTCCCCCTTTCCCACCTTCCCAGGTCGACCACTGTCTCACTGCTGTGAGAGAGAGCTCCGTAGAATGAAACGGGGAGTGAGTGAGTGAGTGAGAGAGACAGAGAGAGAGAGAGAGAGAAATCTAAACCTTAGAAGTCAGCGGCAGAGAGAAGAAGCCGAGCCGCTTCCCTTTGGGCTTCGCAGGGTCACTGGGCAGCGAGGGAGTAGATCCCAGTGCTGCCGCCCTGTGCCCGGGGCGCTGTGCCACGAAGGGAGGGCGGGCATTTACTCCTATGGCGAGCGGGGAGTGGGGGCCGGAGGGGAGTGGGGGAGGTTGAATGGGAGCGGCTGAGGGTGCGTCCCCCCACTCTCAAAGCCGCCCCGAGTGTCCGCTCCAGCCCTGCCGCCGGCTATGATCTCACTACTTTTGCCCCTGTCTCCTCCCCACATGTCTCACCTTCAGATGACTCCTGCCCGAAGCACCGGCCACGGTGACAGCTGTCGTTCGGGCAGCTCGAGAAAAGAACCGTCTTCTTTCCTGGTGCCAGAGGACGCAGGACGGACATTAGCCAGGTGGCCAGTTGCGAAGCGGCCACCCAGGCGTCTGGAGCTGGACGCGCCCCACCTCCAGCGGGAGCGCCCGGGCCGGGCCGGGCTGGGGCCTCCTCGCGCTCGCCATCGCTGGACAAAGCGCAGCCGAGCCCCGCTGGAAGGCTGAGCTCCTGAGCTCCGAAGCAGGCAGGATGGAGCGGAGCAAAAGAATGCGGCTCTATTCTCGCAAGGGAAATTATAAAAAAGTTCATGTTCACGGTTCCCATCCACATGACCGACAGCGGCCAATGGAAAGGCCGAACAACTCATAAAGTTGTATTGCAAAGTTGTAAATTTTCATAAACAACAACGGATTTATGACCCTTTCCCCATCACTAAGAGGAGGCAGCTCTTCCACCGGCGCCATCTTACTAAGCAGGCCGCCTGGACTTGGGGCCGCGGGTTTTACAGATCTGGTTTGGCTGGGCTTTATGAAAAGAGCCCTAAGAAGCGGGTTTTGCCCAAGCAAGGATGCTGGAGGACCGGTCTTGGGTGACCCAGCTCAGGCGGCTTCAGTCGTCCTTTCCCAGCCCTAGGTCCTTCCGGAACCCTGACACACCAAGCAGCCCTGGGGGTCTGCGCCCCTGCCCCTCCCCAGCTCCCCTCTGCCGCAGTGCGCGGTCCTGGGTGTGCTCCCTTTGCCTGTATGGAGGGTGGAAGGGCTGCGCAGAAGCCTTTTAGGCAAGGCACCGAGTTCAGGGTGCAGGGGGCACACAGGATGAATCAATCGCAGGGTAGGACCCCCTTTCAAGCCCACCATGCACAGACTTAGAGGACAGGGTGGCTTTGGGATGGACTCGGGGTTTCGAGAGGCTATTAGGGAGGTTTATAGACTAGGAGGTCTCCATCCAAGATTTCGTTTTCAGAGGCTCTGGAGGATGTTTGTGCTCCCATACAAAAACCAGACACACATTTCTACACGAGGGAGTGCACACACTCAATTACAGACACATGGAAACATGTACACTCAATGATGGACACAAAAGTACACACCATTTTGATCACAGAAATACAATTATGAACATGCAGAAATGCATTCACTTAATTGCAGACAAAGAAACTGAAACAATTAGAGGCACAGAAACATACATTCAATTATGGACACAGAAATATGCTAAATTATGCATACATAAATACACAGTTACACACGCAGAAATACATGCAATTATAGACACACACTCAGTTATGGACACAATTACAGACACATGCAAAAATATATACAAACACGTATCAAAATATGTAGTGACAAAAATCAGGACTTGCACCCCCATACAAAATCATACATGAAAACACACATAAAAAGGACATGACACCCAACATTCGGACTCCAGGACAGTCGCTCTATTTTGCTTCCTCAATCACTGCCGCTGTGGAAGACATGATCCGGGCTTGTTCCCCAGCCATGCTTCCACCCTCCCTCAGATCCCCTGTGAATCAAGCAGTCTTGTTTCTTTGACACCAAGCATCTTTATTTTTTGGATACATGACACACTGGTAGCTGGGTAAGATGGGGAAAGTGCCTTCCCTGGACCTCCGCTGGAGCCGAGGAGGTCCCAGGACAACTAGGAGATGAAAAGCGGAGGTCCTTGGCAGGGCTTTGGCCTCCCTGTCCTTAGATCAAGACAACACCATGCTACAAAGTCACCCCATTAACACATCCTTCCCAAGTCAAGACATTGCCTTACAAATGAGTGCCAAGACTATACAAATGACAACAACAACAACAAAAATCCCATTGAAATATACAGTATTTGCTACGGTAGGAAAAGTTCCGGTGTCCATATTTGACATGGCTGGACAGTAGAACACAGGGGCTTGGGGTAGGGGGTGGGCAGCGGCAGGGAGCGTGGCTGACAGCTTCTCTGAGGTTCTACTCACTGAAGCTGACCCAAGAGGTGTGCAGCCACCTTGGAAATGTTCCCTTCAAGAAGCAATGTGAAGGGCCTGAATGTGGGGTACCCAGGCCAGAGAAGGAGGGGCTCTAGGTTACAGCACTTAGAATGCTTTGGAATAAATATATTATTTTTCAATTTAAATAGAAGCCAATGCCCTGTTCCCTGGATCCCAGCACAGCCTCCGGGACCCCAAAAGGCTGCTGGCTGGAAGCAGCAGTAGCCTGGCCAGGGAGGGCCCGGCACTAGGTAGCAGACGATCCAGCAAGCACAAAATAGGTAGTTTGGGGGAGAATAGGTAGTACTGAGTCAGGTCCTTGGGGCTGTGGGGTGGTGCTGAGTATCTGCCAGTGTTGGGACGTGGTCTGGGTTTCCTAGAAGTGAAGGCCCACTGGGGCTGGGCCATAGGTAGTTTGGGGGTGCCTCAAGGTGAGGCCTGTGCTAGGTAGTATTTTGGCTGCTCCAGTGAGGCTGGCAGGCCTTAGGTTAAGGGGGTGTCTGTTAGGGATCCTTGGAGGCAGAGGAGGAGGTCCCCAAGAGGACCTAGTCTCTGTGGCTGCTCAGTCCAGGAAATTGGGGGGTTTAAGTGGGTAATGGGAGGTGGGGTGGGGAATAGGGGGCTGGGTATTGTTGTTTTTAAACATTTTCCCCTTTCATGTTTGTAAATAAAATCGGGGAGTCTCTTAAAGACACTTTCCAGACTGTCCAGTGCAGCCAGGGCCCCCCCACTCCCGCCTCGGGCCCCTCATTCTTCCTCCTCCTCTTCGTCGTCTTCCTCATCGTCCTCCTCGTCGGCCTTGTCCGCTGCGGCGGCGGCAGCCGCGGTGGTGACAGCCGCGGCAGGCGCGGCGTCCTCGGGGGCAGCGGCGGTGGGGCCCTCGTCTTTATGCTCCTTCTTCCACTTCATGCGTCGGTTCTGGAACCAGATCTTGATCTGGCGCTCGGTGAGGCAGAGCGCATGGGCGATCTCGATGCGGCGGCGCCGCGTCAGGTAGCGGTTGAAGTGGAACTCCTTCTCCAGCTCCAGCGTCTGGTAGCGCGTGTAGGTCTGGCGGCCCCGCTTCCTGTCGGGCCCTGCAAGCAGACGTTGGGGACACACCGACAACAGACACACGGAGAGGACATTGCGTTAGCCAGTCTGCCGCCCAAAGCCTTCCTCCAAGCCTTGGCCCAGGCCCTGGTCCCCCTGGTCCCTGCACCCCAGGATGGAGCAGAAGGACGAAGGGGAGGGGGTGGGGTGCACTTCAGCAGACCCCACGGGATGCCAGCAACGCAGAAGGGGGGGAGAGCACAGAGCCCAACTTTACAACCACCCTTTCCAGCCGGCTACGCTTCCACAATGTCCCCTCCTGTCCCGCTGACAAAGGGAAATTGTAAATATTGAGTGTGGGCAAGTGGGAGACACTTCGCTTTTGCCATTCAAAGGCCAGCCTGGTCGCCTCTCTGCCTTGCTAGACATGTGGGCGACCTGCACTCCTGGGGCGCCCTCCCTCGCCTGCAGCTCCAGCACCCCAGCCCTGGACCTTCCTCAGGCGCTCAGGCCTTGTGTCCCCCACTTCCTCCAGCCACCGGACTGGAAATCACCCCTGGCACTGGGGCGTGTGAGGGTCCCTGGAGGATCTCCTAGCTTTTGAGAAAGAAAAGCCTGGCTGAAAGAGAGCAGAGGAGGGTGGACGGGGAGTGAGGACAGAAGGGAGGGCGGCAAGAGAGAGAGAGGGGAGAGACAGAATAGCGAACAAACAAACTTAATGTTAAAATTCCAAGGCAAATGGAGTTAAATAAATTTACGAGGATCGAACCCATTAATTGAGTCATAAAAAGTTTTATGAGCCTCATTTACATACAATGCTACGGGCTCGCCACGCAATGGCGCCTCGGCTCTAATTAAAACCAGAAAGGCTGTGCCTCCCGGAGTCTGGGGCGGCCGCTCCCCACGCCCGGCTCCCTCTCTCAGGCCCGCGCCCCCCGCGGCCCCCGCGCCCGAGCCCGCGCCGGGCCGCCAGGCCGCCGGGCGGCTGCGCCTACCTGAGGACCGCATCCAGGGATAGATTCGGAAATTGGCCTCGGCCGAGCCGTGCAGCGCGCCCTCGTCCGCCTTGTCGCAGGCACCTTTGGCGAGGTCACTGCAGAGCCCGGGGATGTTTTGGTCGTAGGAGGCGCAGGGCAGGTTGCCGTAGGCGTCGGCGCCCAGGCCGTAGCCGGCCGCGAAGGGACTCTGATAGAGGGGGCTGTTGACATTGTACAAGCCCGGCACGGACGAGGCGAAGGCGCCCGCGCCCGCCCCGTAGCCGCTGCGCTGCGAGTTGGGCGCAAAGGAGCAAGAAGTCGGCTCGGCATTTTGGAAGAGAGAAGCCCCCGCCGTATATTTGCTAAAAAGCGCGTTCACATAATACGAAGAACTCATAATTTTGACCTGTGATTTGTTGTCCGGCAGCTTTCAGTGTCGGTTTTACGAGGTAGCGTGATATATGATAACATTACACCCCCAGATTTACACCAAACCCCATTTTCTTTTGGACGGAGCTCGCCGCAGCACGTGACCGCCCACATGACCGCCTCCGCCAATCTCGGCCGCCCTCACAGGTGGTCTCGCTCGGCGGGGCCCGGGCTGCCTAGAATGGAAGGGGAAGAGGCTCAAATGTGGGGCCCATGCCTCAGTCCCCAACACCCGGCCAGCCAGGCGGCGGCCTGCGACAACAGGGCCCGTAGGTCCCGCGGGAGCGCCACTGCCCGCAGGCCACCCAGCCGGGTCCTAGGGCCTGCGAGCTCAAGGTCGCCTGCCGCAGCCCCCTCCTGCCTGCTCCGGGGCGCCTGGGGCCCCAGAGGGGATCGAACTCCGCACTCAGCCTCTGCCTGCTGCTCTCCTGCCTGCGGACCTGGGCCCCGGCGGGTCTGTGCACGGCCCCACCGTGGCCAGGCCTCACTTCCGAGTCCATGCCCTCCCCGCCCCCTGACACGCGCCCCACCACCCCCAGGTCCAGTGGGCGACAGACCGGACTTGGACTGGGATCTGGACAGGGAAGGCAAGGCGTCCCTGGGAGAACACCGCCGCCAACGAGATCCATGTGGCTGGAATAAAGTCCCGGTCTCCCAGCTTCCTGTCTTTAATCGGCGGCAGACTGTTTTCCGCCCTAAAGGAAGCAGTGAAATATTTATCTATTAATGAGCCTCATTTGCCAGCAGATTTATAAACCTGGCGGACCCCTCCAGTCTCCCGGACCCCGCGGCCCGGGGGCCGGCGCAGTACGTTGGCTATTGGGCATCAGCGGCCCGGCAGCTCTGGACTCCTCCATTGGGCTGCATACTCCTTTGTCCTCCCGCAACCTCGGGCTCCCCCTGGCTCGCTGGGAGCCGGGGCGCCTCTTTACCTCGCTTGAAAGAACCTCAGGGCCCTGCACCTTCCTGGGCGCCTTCAGAGCTCTGAGTTTACTGGCAGTCTTCAAGCCAAGCCACCCCTCAGCCTGAGCCAAATTCCTCTCTTAGGGTCTGGGTGCCTTCAAACAATATTCTGTATGAAGCCCGACTTGAGGATGAGAGGAAGCTGAGGGTTCCAGCATCATTTAAGCTCAAGACGCCAGAAAGAGAAAGAGAGAATAAAAAGGGGGGGGGGGTGTCCAGAAAAGTCACTCCACCTCACAGCTCCTTCAGCAGAAAAGCTCCTGAAAACCTCCCTCCCTCCCAAGCAGCCCCAACTCCTGGCATTTACCTCCCCAGGCCTCAGACCATTGGGGGGGGGGGCTGAGCCTGCTGAGCCCCTGCCCCCCACAAATCCTGGAGAGTGGTGAGGTGAACCCCTCCCCTAAACACCTCATAAACTGCCCAGGCCACGCTGGGAGCCTGGCTGCCGGTTCAGAACGCCTTTTACTGCCCAGCTCGATTGCACACCATAAACCCTACCTCACAATGGGATTGCTCCGGAAACTCTCCCCTAAATTATAGAGTTTGGTTCCTTGTGTACAAAGCGCTTCCCATCACTTGCAGAGGGTCCCCCAGCTGCCCCAGTTCACTGCACACTCTCAGGGGGTCTCAGGAGCACAAAAGGCGGTGGAAATGGGGGGGGGGCGTTAGACCAGGATGCACAGGGATCCCAGTTCCTGTGGAGTGGAGTGAGGACTGGTGGGTGGGGAGGCATGGTGCCTGTTCTTGGGACAGGTGGACGCCATCGGGTTATCAGGACCCTGGAGCAAGATCCAATATCCGGGTATGTCCCCTTATAGTGATTCAAGAAGATAATTTGTCCTGGCTGGGAAACGGAGGGGATAGGAAGAAAAGAAAAAGCCCACCAAATATCCCAAATAGCATAGTTTTCTGGGAAGAAATAAAACCCTTAAAAAAGTTAAAGGGAGACAAGGAAACAAGAAGAAAGCTGGGAGATCAAAGAGGGGAATTGGACGGCTTTAGACCAATAAATTGTTCCTTGGGTGACACAGCTAGCAAAGAGGAAGACCACGGCGGCCCCGCCGTCCACGCCGCCGTCTGTCTAGATGCTGGCGGCCAGGCTGCCGTTCGAGAAGGTGTTTGAAGTAGAACCTGCCTCGAGCCAGGATATAACAGGCAGCGTCGAGCGATTCTGGGGACCGGGAAGAAGGGGGTGAACACTGCCGCCAAGGGTAGGCTGGCCTCCCGCGCGCCACACGCTGGTCTTGCCCAGGTTCTGCCCGGGCGGCTGCTGGGAGGAGCGCATCCAAGCGGCGCTGGCAGATCGCACTGCCAAGGTAGATCCGGATCCTGCCCGCAAGGCCTTGGCCCTCCTGGGCCCACGTCAGCCCTCTGGGCCGCGTTCCACTGCAGCGAAGCTTCTTTCGTTTCTGGGCGCCTCCCCTCCAGCCTTTGGTGGCCAGGTTTTAAAACGAAAAGGCAAGACCAAGTCAGGCTTTCAAGAAACCTCTTGGATCGCATGTCCTGGCACCATCGGTTTTCCGTGTATCTGGCTGAAAGGACACAAATGCACTTGGTTAGCTGCGATCCTATTTACGGCTATGCTCGTTGACGCTGCAACCCAGCGCAGGCACACATGCAGGCGGGTTTCCAATCAACCGAGTTGTCTCTAAATAAAGACACTTCCCCGCTCAGCTGGATTCCTAGCTGGAGAATGATTTCCTCTTTGCTTCTTGCTAAGTAAATAGTCCTCGATATTTGAAGATGGTTAGGAAGGTAAACCCCCGTGGGCCACAGCGAATGGCTTCTGCCAGGCTCCTCTCCCCGGCCCCGCGCTGGGCGGCTCTGGCCGCTTCCCCTCGCGTCCCTGCCCCGGTTGCGCGTCTGTTCTGTGCCCCGGGCGCCGTGACCTGCCCTTCCCGACGCGTGGAGAGAAGCGCGGGCCTCCGAGGGGTCTGGTCTGGGTGAAGGGCCGCCACGCGGAAGCGGCTCCCGGCGGAGAGGACAGGGAGGGCCGCCTAGTAGCCTCCTGCTGGCCAAGGGCAAGGGAGGCCCCGCCAAGCCGTCTCTGCGGCCGGCCTCCGAGCCACTGGCGGCCTGCACCTACCTGGAGCCTCCGGAGGGCGCGGCGGCCACAGCTCTGCTCCGCAGCCATTTATTCAGATTACGGCAATAAAGCTTTAGAACGCCCGCGGCTTGGATATCCCCCCCCTGGATGGCTTTTAAGGAAGCTATCAAGCCCCTCTTAACACTCAGAGATTGTGAAACAGGGTGTATTATATTAAAATAGAGAGACGTGTGTCTGTAATACCTACTCGTGTACACTGAGAGGAAAGGGAAGAGCCAAGCCCCTCACCCACCCAGGAGAGGTGTCAGTCCAAACCCAGCTTTGCAGCCAGCGTGTACCCTGTCAAGCTGTGGGTCGGTCGTGAAGGTTCTGTGGGCATGGAAGTGACGGTGACGACTCAAATTAATGGGTTGGCGCGCACACCCAGGGCTCGGTGGCCTTCGGCTTTAGCGCGAGAGCCACGCGGAGACTGTGGCGCGAGGACTGCGCTGCCGGGGAAACTCCGAGCGTCTTCCCCGCCCGGGGTCCAGAAGCTGCGGACCTGCACCCGGGGTCCCGTCCATTTGGGGGGGACGCAGGAGCAGCCTCCATACCTGCACTGCCAAAGCAATGAGACGGAGAGAAAGTGCTGGCGGTTTGGACGACGTGAGCTCCTATCCTGGATCATAGGATGGGGTTATTATTCTTACTATCGATGTGATTTTGAACATCACGTTTATTTGAGAATAACCAAAACGGTCTCCGTCTGGCTGCCCGGGGGTTCCCCATCCCCATCAACAACGGACCAACTCGACCGCTGGACCCACACGGGACAGTCACCAACAGTGTTCCCAGCCCAGTTTTCGACCGCCCAATTTTATTGTCACGTATTCAAGCCAAGTCCCAGCTGCTGGCTCTCCCGCGCCCTGGTCCCTGAGACGGGTGCAATCGCATAGGTGCGCACCCTCAGCACGCCCTTGGCAGGGTTATACGCATTCATTTCTGTGTCTGTAGGCTGGTCACCTGGGGTCCTTCCGTGCTCTGCTGCCCCAGGCCTGTCTCAGGCTGTGATGGTGACCCCGCAAGTTGTCTCCGACCAGGAACTACAGCCCGGAGAGGATAACGGCGGCAGCCTCGCAGCTTGGTCCCCGGGAAACACAGTGGTGGAGGGCGACGTGTGCCAGGCGAGTTTCCGCAGCTTGCAAGCGATGCTTCTGGCCCGGCGTGAACAACACGGAAAATATATGATTGCTGTTGACTCAAATCTGGGCCTCCCATTCCAGAAAGCTAGTGTCAAGTCGACATCTTAGGAACTTCCCAGGCTCACAGCGGCTGGAGATGGCGGCGCGGGCGCCTCTTACGTGGAGCCATGCTCCCATCTGCTGACCAAACTGCGGTACTGCAGCGCAGGCCGGCCTGAACTTCGGCCGCCCGCCGACGCCAGGGCCGCGGGGTCTTTCACCCCAATCCCAAAGAGTGCCGGGGACCCAGTCCCTCAGGAGCCTCGTGGAGTCTGGAATCTAAGTTGCCGAGAGGGAAACCGTGTCCATAAAAGAGAGCTGTTTCCGCAGTCGCTTTATCGGCAGCAGACAGAGCAAACAAATGAAAGGGCTTTGGTGGAAAATCCGAATTGGGCCTGGACAGTTGTAAATTCATTAAGGACCGGATTCCAGACAGTTCGCAGACCCGGCCTTTATGGCGTACCCTTACTGCTCATTCTTTGAAGTTCCTTCTGTCTACAACTACAGAGGGCATCCCAATCCTGTGGCGGGGGGTGGGGAGTGGGTAGGCAGTGAGGGGACGGGACCCCTCTTCCCCAGCACCCTGGTTCCCCTTTTACATTTTCCCAAACACCACCGACTTTGGAGTGTGGGGGACAGACACGGGGGTGGGGGCAGGGGGGAACCCTGAGGCGGTGGCCCTGCCGCATCGCATCTGGGAGCCACTCGGGCCTCCTGAGTGGTGGCGGTTCTCTCCCCATAAACTTACACCCCATAAATGCTAACAGCCCTCATTTTCTTTTATGGCTTCATCACATCGGGGTTGGGGTTCTTTTCGTCAGTTGCCTGGGTCCTGCCTTCGCCAAGACTTGTCTCTCAGGAAGGGCGTGCACTGCAAGGCTCAGTATCCCCCAGGCCAGGCTGGGAGAATGTGGGGGCACGGGATGCCACGTGTGGGCGGGGACACCAGCCTATGGTCCCTTGTGTGCCCCAAACTTCTGTTCTTTCTAAGTATTTCCCTCCTCCTAAACTCCTAGGAGGCCAACCCTGAGCTCTTGCCCTACCCGCTGTCCACCTCTGTCCCCCAGGCCTAGAGGCCCCCAGGAGTTTCCAACCCAGGTTTGGAGAAATTCTTAGGGAGCCAGGTGAAAGAGAGGCCTTCCTAGCACTACTGACCTGAGATGCCTGGATCCTTATCTCAGCTCCTGGGACACCTCCCCACCGCAAACGGGCTCCTGCCTGGGATCCTAGGCTCACCTCTCCGCCTGAATGCCCTGCCTTCTGGAAGCGCCTGCCTGGCCCGAGTGTGTAGGCCTGCCTGGGCTGGCTTCTAGGGCTCCCTAAAGCCGCCAGAGGCAAAATCGGGCTCTGTGCCCCCCAGGCCACTCCGGCCCCCACCCGCCCTGGGGAAGAAGGTCCACAATGAAAACGAATAGAAAAGAATCAAAATATTTTATTTGGCAAAAAGTTAAATATCATTTCAACACAATTTGGTCAGTAGGCCTTGAGGTAACTATTGCAAAATAGACAGTGTATATTCAACCCGACGGAAACCCCAGATTCATCAACAGTAGCCCAGTGGCGTTTTCATAGTGTGTAATTTATTATCAATAAAATTAACTCCGTTACAATAAGCATTCATTTCCCTCCTGATTAAAATTAAATGTAAACCATAGGTAGTAACCTTCTGCACACATGTATAGCTCCGAATTTCCTGTTTGCCTGATGGGAAAACAATATTCAAGTTTGTCTGATTGTGTACTTTTCCTTTAATATACATATTACATATATACAACAGGTAAGACAGGACAATAGAGCATAAAGACATCCCTCCCCCGCAAAAAATGCCTGCATTTCCACAGTGGAGAGAGCTATGAATCAATGCATCCTGGAGAACCCTTCATTTGCTTTAACATTTTTATTTCATAGGGAAATCCTTACAGCTAGTTTACAATCAAAGGTTAACTGCCTAGTTACACAGAAGACGTTTTCCACTACAGAGCTATCTCTATGCGACTGGGGTTTTTTTTCCGTTTATTTTTTGTCATCCCCCCACCACCACCTTCCCCTCATAAACAACCTGAGTTCAAATTGAATTCTAGCTTCCACAATCACAACGGGTACATCACCCAGCACAGAAGTTTGAGTCACAAAACATAATTACCACAATAAAACACAGTGTTCAAGTATCTCTGCAGATCGCCCAGCCCGCACAAAGGGCAAATTAAATTAACTACGCAGTCTAAAAACTACACAGCCCGCCGTCAACAGTTGTGCATCATTAAAAGGTAGTTCTTTTTTTGTTGTTGTTTTAGCAGGAACAGGTAGATTTATTTGAAGAGATATATACAAGTTTGCACGGTCAGCCACCAGTACCAGTGCGCCCCCCACCCCCTTTGTCACCTTATAGAAAATGGAAGGCTTACAATACCTCCTCCATGAAAGCAACAGGCCGAGGTACCAGCCTGAGCAGGGTTTTGCCTTGGGGAGCTGAGACCTGGGGTTTAGTGCTGCTTGGTGCAGGGTGGTGGAGGCTGGGGTGGGGGGCAGGGACAAGGGCAGGGGCCCCCAGTAGTCCTTTCTTTCTCCTCTCTAGCTCTCTTCTAAATGAACCCCAAGTGCGTCATTCGTCTTTTGCTCGGTCCTTGTTGATTTTCTTCATTTTCATCCTGCGATTCTGGAACCAGATCTTGACCTGCCTCTCCGTGAGGTTGAGCAGCCGGGCCACCTCGTACCTGCGGTCCCTGGTGAGGTACATGTTGAACAGAAACTCCTTCTCCAGCTCCAGCGTCTGGTGCTTAGTGTAGGGGCAGCGCTTCTTCCGCGTGGAGCGTGCGTGCAGCCAGTTGGCTGCGGGGTTATCTGCAGAGAGAGAGAGACACCGGTTTAGAAGAGTCCTCAGGCTGAGGCCTCCGGGAGCCTCCAGGGAACTCGGGCCAAGCAGCAGGACGTTGCTGCGTAGTTTAGAGAAGGCAGAGAAGGCGGGTCAGCCTAGGACACATGGAAGCCTGCCAGACACACGCAGGGACAGTCACTCATAATTGTCCTCCGTTTTGCCGCTGCCTCCACCCCCCCCTTCAGCTCTCTGGCCCGTGCTACTAGTCTGTTCTCCGTCCGGTTCCCCTCTCTCCTCCACTTTGAGAAAAGGCTGGGATTTGGAAACAGATCTGGCCACTTAGAGGGAAACCAACCACATAGCTCGGCTCGGCGTTGCTGTAGCAAGATCTCTCTCTCGCTCTCTCTCTCTCTCTCACTGGCTTCCCTTCCCCATCTTTCATTCTCCTCTTCCCACTCCTGGGTGAACCCCATGGGAGCCCAGAGGAGGTGGGGAGGCGGGCTGGGGCCCCCCTTGGCTCCTCAAGGCCACAGATCACTACCCCAACTGATTTGCATAATCTGGAATGGGGACCCTCGTTGGCCGCCGGCCGCCTGCAGCCTCATTTGAAGCAGGATTTACGTCGCCGCCGACTGAAGGCAAGGAGTGGAGGGTCGGGTCGGCTGTCGCCCCCCAGCGCCCTCGGACCGGCTGCCCCGTCCCCGCCGCTGCGCCAGGACAATCTAGCCTCACAATAGACGCTCGGCGCTGCGTTCCAGGAACAGTCCCAAGCCTCTCGGTCCCAGGCCGCGGTCGAGAAGAGGGGCCCGGGTCTCGGCGGGCGCGCAGCGTCCTGCCCCGCCCCCTCTCTCGGGGCGGCTGCGGCAGTTGCAGCCTCCCCTCCCCCAACCGGGCGCCCACTGTCATGGCTCTCCGTATTTGGGGGGGTGGGTCCCGTCCGAGGCGTCCAAAACAGCAACTTCTGGCTCTGAGGGCCCGCTCCGGAGGCGCCCGGCGCGGGCGAAGGCAAACTCCAGAAAAGCTGGCGGGCCGGCAGGCAGATCCAGGTGGCCGGCGTGGAGGCGGCGGCAGCCGGCGGGCCAGAGGAGACACTTACTGGGATCGATGGGGGGCTTGTCTCCGCTGCTCTCATTCTCAGCATTGTTTTCGGAGAAGGCGCCTTCGCTGGGCTGTTTGTCTCTATCAACTGGAGGAGAACCACAAGTATAGTCAGTCAGGGACAGAGTGTGCGTGTCAAGCGTGGGACAGTCACCCCTTCTGGCCGACAGCGGTTCAGGTTTAATGCCGTAAGGCCGGCTGGAGGGCAAGCCCGCGAAGGAGAGCGCGCCGGGCGTGGGCTCCAGCCAGGAGCGCATGTACCTGCCGTCCGGCGCCGCTGCTGCCACCGGCGCCTGGGGGTGGACGTAGGGGTGGTGGTGGTGGTACACGGCGGGCACGGCGTTGGCGCCCGCCGCGTGCACCGAGTTCCAGGAGGCGCCGAACACTGCCGCCTTAGACTGGAAGCTGCACGGGCTGAAGTCGGGGTGCTCGGCCAGCGCGGTCGCCTGCCGCGGGGGCTGGCCCAGGGCCCCCGGCGCGTAGCGGCCCGCTCCCAGCTCATCGGCGGCGTCGGCGCCCAGCAAGAAGGAGTCCACGTAGTAGTTGCCCAGGGCCCCGGTGGTGGCCATCGCCGTGCCCCGTGCCCGGCCGGCCCGGCCCGACCCGCGGAAATTATGAAACTGCAGATTTCATGTAACAACTTGATGGCACCAGGGGGGAAGTACAGTCACCTAATAAGTTGCCGGCGCCCGCGCCCCCATTGGCCGCGCGCGTCACGTGCCCGCCAAGCAGAACAATAACGCGTAAATCACTCCGCACGCTATTAATGGCCCGGTGTTTTGCAGTCATAATTTTTATAGCAAAAGCCATATGTTTTTATGCAAAGGAATCGCGCCGCTCTACAATCAGGTTTGTTTTAATTGCGGCCAGCAAAGATTAAAAGATCAAATCGGGTCTAGCCTGTGTACACCCAACCACTAGCACCAGCAGACACGCTCGTGCACGCGCGCGCGCACACACACACACACACACACACACACACCTTAAGAGGACTATTTTATATCACAATTAATCACGCTATCAGGAAGGCGCGGGTCCCCCGTGCAAATGCGGCCAGCAGAGCCCCTCACATAAAATTAGACAATAATTGAAACCATAAAAAAGGCAGCCACATCGCATTCTCGCTCTACTGTATTTAAATATATATTTATGATATTTCATAAGGAGTTATTGTTTCAGAAGCCACGCAGACTGGTGGGAAGTCCGGAACGACCAACAGATTCGTTTGCCTCAGTGGCTCCCAGCTGTAAAAATTTATGAGGACTTGGAAAGGTTAAATTAGACTGTTGTGTTTGGTTGGTGAGAGCCATGTAAATAATCCCTGCGGGCCCCAGGAGATGCCAGTTTACCACCGGCCGGCCATGAAAAGTCAAATTCAACCCAGTCACCCTCCCAAAACAGCTGCCTGTCTGCCGCCGCCCCTGGGCCAAGCATGCCAGGCAGGGACAGGCCTTGGAGGAGGACCCCCGACTGCAGCAGCCCCCAAATCTGGCCGCCTGGGGCGCGAGGCCAGGCATCCTGGCAGCCCCTAATTCACAGCGGCGCCTCCAGAGAAAGTCCCCCTATGAGCAGCACGCTGGCCTGGGCGGGAGCGGCCACACTGGGGAGAAGGATTTCAAGGCCCGCGCTCTGCGGGCTGGTGCGGGGCCGGGTGCATAAACGCACCAGGAGAGTCTGGCTCCGGGACAGCCTGAAATCTAGAGTCGCCGGACCCTGGTCTCTGACTTCTTTGAGGGCCCTAACTTTGTGCTTTGCCAGCCTCGGGGTGCTCCCCGAACCAACCACCGGCGCAGGGAGACATGTCCGCGGCACTGGTAAGCGACAAAGCAGTCCCACCTAAGAGACCCACGGTTCTAGTGACCAGGGAGCCGGTAGTGGTGGGACCCTAGACCCAGAATAAGGCCTTCAATAAGGCTTGTCCTTGCTGCCAGTCGCCGCCCTGCGCCCCAGTTACTGGCTAGACAGAGAGCATTACAAAGCTCAAAGCCCAAAGCCAGGCGCTGCAGCTCAAGTCCAGGGTGAGAAATTTTAACAGGAGGAGCACGGGGCATTGACTTTAATCTCTTGGCCTGGGTACCTCAGAAGTCTTGGAAGAGGATTCCTCACCCCTTAAAGCCTTTGGGGGTAAATACAAAGACCACAGCCTCTCTGTTAATTGGAAATGAAAAACAAAACAAAACAAAACACCCACCATCCCAATTTCAAACAGCAAGCTGGACTCCTAGAAATGGTGTAATTAAATTCACGTGCTTGTGAATTCTGGGCCTGCAAGAGTGTGTTTCTCATTAGCTCCCTTCCCTCTCTGCAAGGGCTAGGCAGCAAGGCCGGCTCCCTGATCTTTTCTTCTTTTCTCTTTTCTTTTCTGCCTTCTCACCAAGAGCCCCCCTAATCTCGAGAAAGGCACAGCCTGCAGCCTTATTGCTACGGAGTAAGCTTTTCCCAGAGCCTGTGCCTGGCCAGGGAAGAGGGAAGTGGCCGACACAATGACCTCCGACGTGGCCAGTCCAGGCCGTCTCGGCCCCCTTCCCGGCTGTTTTCCTTTCTGTAGAAAGTCCTCTATTTCCACCCACTCCGCAGCCTAAGATGTCCCCCAAAGCGGCAGTCCTCCTGGCCTCTGAGATTTCTATGAAGAAAAAGAGGTCTTGGGAAAACAATTTCCCTCCGAATTTGACTGTCTGCAAACAGATTCGTGGGCCTAGCCACCTTTGTCAAGTTTTGTACCCAGGAAGGCATTGAATGGTTGTTAGTTTTGTTTTGTTTTCATAAAAATGGGATGTTCCTTTAGATGACTCTAGACCTAAAATAGTTACTGAATAATCAGTAGGCTTTGCATATTAAACTACTATTATTTATGCCCAGAAGGAAAAAGAAAAGGCAAAAACCCCAAACCAAATTTTGTTGTTCCTCAGCCAAGAGGTTTGGAATAAAAATATTCAGGCTTTTGTGTGTTTTTATTTGGGAAGTTAAGAGGATTATTTGTGCATTTAAAAAAGAAGTGGCTATAATTGAGAGCCTCTCCATTCTCACTGGAGAGTCCTTCCAAAGCCTTGGTCTAGGAAATCAACTCACTGTCCAAGTCTGGCAGAGGGCAGAAGGGGAGCCAGATGTGTGACATTCAGAGACCGGCATCCTGACCTGCGGGCACCATGCACACAGCACCTGGGCCCCCAGGTAGAGCTGGGAAGGGAAGCAAGTTTGGATGTATGCACCAAGGGAAAGAAGGTTGTTTTCAGTTTCCAATAGTGAGAATGGCCCTTCGAACGTAGACTACAACTTGGAGCAAGGATTCAAGTTTATATCCCAAGGTCCTGGCATTTGGAATTCCTCTTCCCTATTTAAAATATAGCCTGGTCGAACTAGGGTACCCTATCTAACACTTTTCGAACCTGATAGAACCTACTGGAAAGCAAGCCGCCAAGCCTTTGCCCTAGTGGGGTTCGTTTGTCCTTGCTGAACCCCAGGGCTGTCTTTCAGGCCTGGAGAGCCTAAGAGGAACTTCCCAACCCCGCTCTCTGAGAGGAGCAGTACGGGGCTCTGCCGAGCTTGGCGAGGGGCCAGTGAGGCAGGAGCAGGCCTCCTTGCCATGCATGTGGGCACACAAAGGCGCCTGGCCTGGGCGCGTGAGCGCCGCCACCCAATCCGGTCTTCCAGGCTGCCTTGGCTGACCGCAGAGAAGGAAGGCAAGGCTGCCGCCACCCGGTCGTGATCATAACCGAGGCCTTGTCTGCCCCAGGCCCTTCAGGCCAGGCCCACGGCCCTCCACAGAGCCCCACGAGAGTACGTCTGTCCGCATCGGACCCCACCCACCACTGAGCTCACAGAGATGACCCCCCTCCCTTCCAGCTTCTCCCAAGCCAGCTTCGGCCTTCCAGAGGGCTGGTATGGGAAGAGGGAAGATGGCCAGTGGCAGAGAAAGAGAAGATAATGGATCACGGAGAGACTGAAAATGAAAGAAAAACAAGGAAAATGGAAGGTGGGAAGAAAAGAAGTTTTAAAAAAAGGAGGAAGGGAGGAGGAGGGAGGGAGAGAAGGAAGGAACGAAAGAAGCTAGTCAGAGGCTACCCCCGTTTGTCTAGCAGAGCAGTGGCAAGACCAGCAGCTCAGCCCGCTTCTTTCAGCGGGCTTCGGCGGGCCAGGCCTGGCTTTCCACTAGCAAACAGAACTCCCTGGCGCTCTGCCTTGGGCTGGAGGGTCGCAGCCTCGCCGGAGGACATCCGGGGTTCCAGGCGCCAAGCCTAGGTCCAGAGCGGTGAGGCCCTGGACTGAAGCATGCGCCCCTGACCTTGAATGGCCAGGGGGCCCAGAATTCCTACCACGCCCACGGCGTCAGCGAAGTCACCGCTAACCTGACCATACCTGCTCCGGGCTAGGTGAGGGTGGGGTGGTGGGCTGCCGGCCGGCTGAAACGGCGCTGGGAGGGAGGTAGTGCCGAGGCTCCGGCGCCTGCCAGGAAAGCCGAGGTTGCCACCGCAGCTGGCACTGCCTGGGCCTGCATGCCTGGCCCGCCCCCCGCGCGCACAGATACCTGGAGACGATTTCAACTGAAGTAATGAAGGCAGTGTCGTGCTGTCGAGAGAAAGGTGGATCCCAACAACAGGAAACTACCTAAATCACCGACCAGTTCTGGTGCTGCCCTTGC